TCTGAAACGCAATCTAAAAGACGACGAAACGCATGTCCCAAAAGTGATATCGCGCTAAGATTATGGGTACTTTTAGAGAATCAAACCAAATTTAAAATGTATTCAATCAAAGAGAAATGTTTTGTTGTAAGAAACGTCAAAAGTAAAACCAAATGCAATGTCATAAGCAACATGAGACGACATGTTGAATTTTTGGGCGAAAATTCGTCGACATGCCGCCATGTTGCTATGCACGCCACAATAATAAAGTAGGACAATGGACATGAACTGACCAATCAGGTAGAAAATATGGCAACAGAGCCGTCATTATGTAAACCTATACCACGGTTGCTGATCTAGCATCGCGCAACCAAAACCAGATAAAAGCGACACTTTTTTCAGTTTCAAGACCGAAGTGCTGATCAGGTGCAAGGAAATTCTGCTAAAGTCATTTTAGAGTGGGTGTCAACATTGCCTGTAGGTTATTATTTTATTTATAATGCTGGGTTTTTAATTGTAATTGCAGAAAATCAAGAAGGCCCTGGAACCAAACAAACATTAGGGCCCATCGACTTTTCGGGGTGGAAGATTGCAATGGCGAAGCTTTGGAAACAATGATGTGACTTTCGTGAACCTTTTTACCATCTGCATATTGATATCTGTAATGTATTTACTGTTACCAAGGATAAACTGTTTGAAGTTACTATTTGAACATTGTTGTGTTTTTTGTTGTATTCACTCTTACAAAATCATATCCAATCGTACAATAGAGACAGCATGGTTTACCGTTGGTTGACAGTGACACACAGTCTGTGTATTTAGTATAAACCGCTTTGACCTTCAAACGTAAACATACTATTGAACCAAAAGCAGGGATATTCCACTTGGGGGTAACATAATTTGGTAACCAAGTTGAATGATTATGTCTCCCCCGAAGGATCGGGAGACATATTGTTTTTGGTTGAGTTTCCGTCGGCGTTAGCGTAGGCGTCGGCGTTACCATCGTTTCCGGAGCAAAATTCTGAAACAATTTAACCCATCTTCACCAAATTTGCTATACTGCCTCTCCATATCATGTAGATGTGCCTTTTGGGGGTTTGAGATTTTTTCCAATTTAATTTTTTTCAATTTAAACAAGTTCGGCGTGTTTGTGTTCTGTTTCACTAATTGATCATATTTATGAGAGGGATACAGCATACCGAAGATCTGGTGTTGTTCTATGCTGTCACCTATCTTGTTCTTGATTAGATTGGTCCTGGGGATGGTAAATAAAAGTTGATCATTGGATCATTATCATGAGTTCAATAAATGATCAAACTCAGTGAAAATTAGTGAATTCTTAACAAAACTTTACACCAAAACGCAGCAGTTCACATGCATGACATTTGAACATGCTTCTTAGCAACTTGATGCATGATCCTCATCAGCATGAGGTTTGCAGATGGTTCCCCCAAGTTAGTGGAGAAATTCATCTCCGATGTAACCATATATATATATATACATAACATACAGTGAGTGCTTTAAGGGAGTCTAAACTTTTTATGGGTAGTATATATAGCTGTCACAATCTGTGGAAAATGTAAGTATGTTTATCATCGATTTTCGACAACGTTTGATTGATAACTTTTGAATAGACTTGATGTCTAGTTTAAGTGACAGTTCACGTTATACCTCCTATGTCTATTGTACAGATACCTTAGAACCTGAAAAAATAGTTATCCTGTTTACAAGCTAAAAATATTAGTAATTCAGTTGTACGATTTGGACTTGGTTTTACCAATCTAATGATCAATGAAGGCAGAAAACATGGTTTATAAAAGTCTTTACGATAATGCCCATTGTGTAGTTCTGGAATTGAAGATGAGTTCCATTTTATATTGTTGTGCCCAACCTTTAAGTCACTGCGAATAAAATATCTCAGCGAACATAATTGTCTGTTATACCGTTTTCGCTAACCTCTTGCCTACAAAACAGTGAAGCAATTCTGTCTGATCTTGCATTGTATGTACATCACGCATTGAAACTAAGCCATTCTATTGTATGATTATTCTACCAGCATACTGAATGTAAATATCCATGTTTTGAATAATTCAATGAATGAATATGTTTGTATATAGGTCAGTGGCCTTCCATGCAATACACGCTTTGGCTTCTATTGGTCTTTGTAGCACAGACGATTGAGGCTGTACTTTCACAATTCTGACAAGCCCCCTTTTGTCCATATTCACATCAAGGATTCTACCAAGAGCCCATGCGTTCCGTGGTGCAGTATCCGCAACAAAGACTACAGGTCTCCAACCCTGTCCCTTTCCACCCACTTCTGTCTTTGTTGAAGAAAAGATAAATGATCGTTTGTCCATCTTTTCGTAAAGACAGCACATCACGTCGGGGAAATGGCATGGTGCTTTGCTTCAAATGGAATGTCCGCGCACTCAAGAAGGCCACCTACCCTCATTACGCCGTCTATCAGAAAGAGGTCTAGTTTTCCCTCCTCTTTCATGACCAAGATAATTCAGGCTACAGACCTTTCCAGATGTATCCAGTCTGAGTAACCATTCAATTATCTGCCCATTACTGTATCTGGATGCTGTATGATTGCAGTACATTTTACTTTGGGTCATTCCCAGATATTGTATTTGCATCAGCAACAGTTCCCACTCCTTGTCTGGTTTTCATAGGAATTCTCGGTTCTTTACCCAAGATTCTGTTGGTAACAGTTGGCTATTCTATAATACATATTATTATCAATAACCGATTTGTTTGTACTTGGAAGCCAACAAGCTATAGCTACTTTCTTCTACAAAATGTGGTTTCCACATAAACAGAAGTACCATTGATCATTTGTTGCGTCTGAAATCATTTGTCAAAAATGCCATGATTTAAAAAACAACAACAGACAGTTTCTATTTGTTTTTTATTTACAAAAACCCTACGGCACTACAATGCAATACGGAATTTTAAAGCATTTACAAGACTTTGGGCTGCTTCAATTTAAATCCAGCTTTTGAAATGGTGAAGTCCACGTGGTTTCTACCGTAGCTGAATATTGTAATCAGGATCAGAATGTCCCAGAACATTCACTAAAATAATGTTCTAAATTGTACTAACATGTACCAAACTAAATAGCCTATCTAAACTTTTAATAGATTCAATTGTAGTTACAAAATCACGCACGCCAGTGAAAGGTAACTGCAAGTAAGTTTAAATAAAATCATTAAATGGTGTTTAGAAAATGGATTTAAATTTTCATATTAAACTAGCAGTAGCCCCTTTTGGCGAAAATAGTGGGGTTGACGTGGTGTGAAATTATCCCTACAATAATTGTAATTGTGAGCTATTGGTATATTTAAATTGCTGGCTACAATTTCATACAATCGCCAGGAGCTACAGGGATGGTGAAATCCGGCTGGGAAACAAAAGTACTTTATGTTCCTAGTCAAGTGATCTACTTCCAGCTGCTGGTGATCTATAGCCCGTTTTATAATTATGTCGTATCGTTTAATATGAGGATATATGTTCTATGGTTACATATAAGTTTTAAACATCTGTGACGCTCTTGTTATTTTACTGTCATTGACAATGACAGAATTTATATTAACTACATTTTTTATCACAGATATAAATGCTTGTGTAATACATATACATGTACTGGCTAACGTCTGTGATGTCTGGCGGCTGTGTGGCTGTGCTCCGTAGTGAAGGCTTTGCTAGTTGTGATTTTCCTTGAATCCATGGAATGATGGAATGTGTTTATGCACACGTATTTTACGTATGTATCTGACACATTTTGCCGTGTTCTTGTGTGTTAATGGCCGATGTCTCTATGGAGAGAGAAGGGGGATGTCTCTTTGGAGAGAGGAGGGGGGTGTCTCTATGGAAAGAGGAGGAGGATGTCACTATGGATAGAGGAAGGGATGTCACTATGGAGAGAGAGAGGAGGATATCACTATGGAGAGAAGAGGGATGTCACTATGGAGAGAGGAGAGGGATGTCACTATGGAGAGAGGAGGGGATGTCACTATGGAGTGTGGAGGGAGATGTCACTATGGAGAGAGGGGGTGTCACTATGGATATCACTATGATAGAGGGAGGGATGTCACTATGGAGAGGAGGGATGTCACTATGGAGAGAAGGGGGGATGTCACTATGGAGACAGGAGGGATGTCACTATGGAAAGAGGAGGGGTGTCACTATGGAGTGTGGAGGGAGATGTCACTATGGAGACTGGAGGGGGATGTCACTATGGAGAGAGGAGTGGATATCACTATGTAGAGAGGAGGGGATATCACTATGGAGAGAGGAGGGGGATGCCACTATGGAGAGAGGAGGGAGATTTCTGAGGTTTCCTCACTCAACTTCCCTTCACCTGGTGTCATAATACATAGCAGCACATACTTATCATACAGTCATACAATAAAATCTCCTCTTTGCAGAGATTATTCCTTGGTTATGGAAGAGCTTTGTTGCCTTGACTGTGATTCAAAATTACCACATGCATAACAAATTAATATATGAATTTACAAAACAGCATTCATACAGCAACGTGTTTATATATACTATACATTTTGTCATTACATATGTATGACTTCATTACCTATTGTACAACTGCATCTGTTGCAGATACATGTACCAATCGCGTTGTGTCTGCCGCCGTCACATCACAAACCTACCTCTTACAGGTGAGTGCATTTATTTAGTTATACTGGGTCTGCTCACAGTAATTAGTTGTCAGTGATGCGGAAATTACTATATCTACATTTTGATGCGCTTGGAGGGAAGAGTAAACTCTAATTTATTCCAAATTTAGATAACCTTTAAATCGTTTATATACCTGGGTGATCACATGCGTCAAGCACATTACAATAAGACCAGCGCCTGTGTGATGACCACATTTTCACTCTGGAAATTCAGGCGTTCGGTACAGGAAGTGTGACTAAAGTTGCAGTCAGGTGAATATCATTATCATTAACGTTTTTGCTGTTGCCACTGCATTTTTATTACCTTTGAATTTTGTCCTACAGTTCTACCCAGGTAGCATGCCATCATCGGCCCGACGTCGGCTGATAGTCGGCACCGTCGGCTAATATCGGCATCGTTGAACAGCGCTGGGCCGACAGCGGTCCAATGTAACCCAGATAACACATAAGATTTTCAAAACATGTTTATAAGGTTTCAACTGATTTATCAAAAATATTTTCGTCAAAACACAGTCACAATCTTAAAACATGTCTCTCAACTATTTAAAATCATTAATTATTCAAATGGGATTTTTAAAAGTTGTTCATGAAGAAAGAAATGTTACCGCGGGAAAGGACGTCGGAATGACGTCATACGTTCACGTCATATTTTCGCACCCATCATCTTAGTAGAAGTTTATTGAGGACGGTACAACAATGTCATTGTGCAGCAACAAATGGAACTGTATCATCGATCTGACCTCGGTTGCGGTAAGTTAACTTTACAGTCACTACCCGGTTGTTGTTATGTTTATGTACATTTTGATATTCACTCGATCGTGCTACTCGGAAATCGCGAGGTTTTGAGCAGCCGTTCACCATTCGGTGTTGTTAGGCTTCCAACAGAGAGTATTCTGTATGTTAAATTTCATTCAGCTATCAATGGCAAGCAGTATGTTCTTAACCAGAGTTCATGTCAGGCGGACCTTTGTCGCTATTGCGTTCAGTTTTCGATCTAGTAAGCGTATGCACAGCTCACAAGCCAGTGACACTTATCGTCATTAATTTTGTTCCCTGTTATTTCTGAAATATATATTTTTTAATTTAACATTACAACTAACTATCAATATTTTAAGCTATGAAACGTTCGCTCACTTCAGTCGGTGGGTGTGTTTGCATCAAACTTAAAACACGAACATGGGGAATCAAAAGTATTCAAATACTTCCTTGTCGACCTGACTGTGGGCTATTAGTTACTGTCATAGTCTAAGTATGTTTTTTAAAATGAATGTTCAGTCAGAAATGACCGAAGCATACTTGGTGATTACGTAACACTGACTAAACTATATGTTAATCATCCGCGTGGTTGTTGTGGTTTTGCTTGTCTAACATTCGATCCACGTTATTTTCAGTAAAAGGATAGATCTATGTTATCTAAGTATAGTGTTTACATTGTCTATTCTTCAATTTTCCGCAAACTAATAAATTTATCATCTTCGGATATGTATATTTCTCTTCTAAACGAGAGCCAGAAATAAACATGTTTCCCGCGCTATAACGGGGCGTTGGTGATGACTGGTCCTCGGTAAAGTTCATTCGGTTTTCGATCACCATATTTGTTCATGATACAGTATTAATTATTCAAATTTACTTAGTCTTTGTTCTGGAAATGTAGACCAATTCAATTTCTTATGGTTTACTTTGTTCGCCGAAACATTTTGCCAATGAGAAAAAAAAAATATAGTGATCGAAAACTGAACGATTCTGGTTACAATGCTCGCAACGAAATCATACTGCAGCAGTAACTTTCGCGTGTAAGACGTGAATCATGTAGCTAGTTACAATAGCTATTTAATATATCAATTCATGTGTGTATTCCAGGTTAGAATGTATAGAAACGCTGTCCAGTAATCCATGTTTGTTGTAAAGGGGCAGAGTTATTTCCAATCCAACTTTATACACGCTGGTGTTAAATCTACACACGTTGACCCCCCAAAACTTTAGGCAATAATTATTACACAATATATTTCAGCATCGGACTAACTAGATTTATATATGCTTGGGGAATCTAGTTCAATTTGTAACTTGTTATAATGTGGAACTTTGTTATTTTCGTTGCAGCAAGGGCGAATATGAGACACAAGGATTCCGGCAGATACAAACAGAAGTGATGGATTTATTGAGGATTACATCAAATAATCCAGGAGCTGTGAATCAGTTAACGTAAGTGCATCTGTTAAATATCATTGTCTATATACTTGTTGGTGACGTTTTGGCTTTTTATTGCAAAAAATGGATTTGTACCTGCACTCAGCCTCTGACCAGCAAGAGTGGTGGGGTTATCGTTGCTATTCAGTGTGATTTGAAACTATTACCAAATTAGGCATTCAAGGATTTCCATTATTTTCCATTGTGTGCCGGTGTCCATCAAACACTTGCATATACATAGGTGCAGGAAGACTTCATTAACTGATTATTGTCTCTTGATTTGACTTTATACACTTACTATACATTTGTTTTCTTTATTTCAGAAAAAATGGATAAAGTCGAAACCAAAGAAGAAGATTCTGAAATAATCTCGAAAAGTGTACGCGTTTTCTGAAAAAATGAATAAAGAGTGTTGATTATATGTCTGCCATTACTTTTTTTATGTTCCTTGTTAAGAGTAACAATGTCTATTTTCCATAGACATGTAACCTTATTGATAACAGTTAGTGTTTTACTGAAAAGTTAAAACCATATCTTGACAGAAAATGTTATTACAACGTTTCCCGAAACATAAACATTCACATGGATAAAACCTTTTCAGAAGCCTTTTTGGTGGTTACTGAATTTTATAACCAAACGTTCATAGAACACGGTGTTTCTGGAACCATACAAATTCATATGAATAAATCGTTTTAAAAACATGATATGTTTAGGGGATGTTTCTTCACATCTATATAATTTGATACACATATAAAATAGTATTCATATATAAATTGTGGCACATGCTATCAAATATGTATTCACCGTGGAGAAGTGAAGTGAGCAACTAAACTAACGGGCAAAATTAAATGATACTAAGTCGAAATCAGTGATATTACAGACGACAAACCACCATTGTGTAAAAGGAAAGTGAATTTTAATAACGGGTGTATGGGCATGTGTATGCACATGCGTGTTACCCATACACCTGTATGGTGTATATGAAGATAAACTTGATATTCGTCAGTACCATTCATATCATTCACATCTAAATGGGCATAACCCTCTATGGGGAAGTATCAATGCCAATGCTAGGGGAAAATCCTTGAAGATTTCATTGGAGATAATAATTTATGCATATTTAATAATGGATCAGCCACATATTTGCATCCCGGTACGGGTACATATTCTGAACTTGATTTATCTCTCTCAGATCCAAATATTTATAATGAGTTTGAATGGTCGGTCCACGATGATCTTTATGTTAGCGACCATTTCCCCACATCTCTCTCTGCAATAAATCCGACTGATGAGCCGCCTGCAACGAGGTGGAATTTTAATAAGGCTAACTAGCGTTTATTTAAGACACTTTGTACTGACGAATTAAAATCTGTCTATTTTGTCAATGATATGGATCCTATTCAGTTATTCTCGGATAAACTGAATCAAATAGCTGATGAAAGTATTCCCAAGTCCTCTGCGACACCACATATTCGTAAACCATGGTTTACTGATGATTGCAAAAAGGCCAGGAAGTGTAGGAAGAAGGCAGAGAAATACTTTCTCCGTCATCCTACAGTTCACAATATAAAATAATGTTAAAATATATAGTGCCAAGGCTCGACGTACTTTTAAAAACATAGGCGACAGTCTTGGAAGAACTTTGTATCAAAGATCAATTCACGTACACCTATGACGAAATTGTGGAACATGATACAGAGAATCAAGGGTAAAGGTACCAAATCTAGTGTTCATCACCTGAAGGATGGACCCAATATAATAACTAATACATCTGACATTGCAAATGAGTTGGGTGAAACTTTAGCTGCACGTGCTTCATCATCAAATTATAATCCTCAATTTCAGAAATATAAATACCGACAAGAAAAAATGAAAATTAAGTTTAATTCTGACAATGGTGAAGACTACAATGAAGTGTTTTCACTACATGAGCTTAATACTGCCTTTGTACAAGCACATGGTACAGCAACAGGAGCTGATAATATCCACTCTCAGCTTTTAAAACATTTACCCAACTCATGACTTGAAACACTTTGAGAATTTTTGATAATATTTGGACAACTGGACATTTTCCTCCTTCGTGGCGTAATGCAATTCTTGTCCCTCTACCTAAGCCTGGCCGGGGTCATACTGATTCATCTCACTATAGACATATTTCATTGACGAGCTGCGTTTGTAAAACCATGGAACACATGGTCAATAATCGACTGGTATGGTGTTTAGACGATCTTATCACGAACATTCAGTGTGTTTTCCGAAAAAATAGAAGTACTATTGACCATTTGGTTCGCTTGGAATCATTCGTTACAAATTCCATTGTAAATAACCAACATGCTGTATCAATCTTTCTCGACCTGGAAAAAGCTTACGATACAACATGGAAACAGGGTATTTTAAACGATTTAAATGACTTTGGTTTGAGAGGTCGTTTACCTCATTTTATATCACAGTTTTTAACTGACAGGCAATTTCAAGTCCGAGTGGGCTCAACCCTGTCTGATCATTACAATCAGGGTGTCCCACAAGGCAGTACTTTGTCTGTCACACTGTTTAGCATCAAGATCAATAGTTTATCAACGGTTTTAAATGATTCAATTGATGGATCATTATTTGTGGATGATTTCAATCTTTCTTGTCGTGGTAAAAATATGCATACTATTGAACGGCAACTGCAGTTATGTTTAAACAACATAAATAAATGGTGTCTTGAAAACGGCTTTAAATTTTCTAAATCAAAAACTAATTGTATACATTTTTGTAGAAAATATAAGCCTCATAAGGACCAAGAACTTTCTTTAAATGGCACACCCATCAAAGTTGTAAAGGAGGCCAAATTCTTGGGCCTAATTTTCTATTTCCCATTTATCATTCCTGCCACAAACACCGTAAATTAAACAATACATAATCTTTTCCGATTCTCTTTCGTGTCTTCAGGCTATGAACAATCTTTCTTGTAAACATCCACTTTTATTTGAAATTATTGAATTGTATAATGAGCTTGGCTACTGGCCAATGCGACATCGTCTTTTGTTGGTTACCCAGCCATGTTGGCATTTCTGGGAACACAATGACCGATCTTGCTGCTAAGGCAGCACTCAACAAATCTGTGACACCACTTCTTGATCTCATACTCTGATTACAAAGCTAGCATTAGAACCTACATCCGGGATCTGATGCAGAAGAAGTGGGACACTCAAGTTGGGATAAATAAATTACATGCTA